CACAGCTTTAATGTAATTATTTAGTCCTACTCCTTAGATGTCAATACACACTTTTTTTTTTTTTTTTTTAGTAAGACAATTACATTTGTATTCAGGCAGCAGTGATGTATTCTGATTCTCGAGTTCACTGACAAGTTCAATGACCATGATTCTTGAATAGGCTAAATTCAGACAGCCAGAAGTTTCAAAAACCATGCATCGAGCATGGATACCTTGTTGGTAGATCGGTTATGATATTTTTGGAAACACCAGCTGCATCCTCGCAGAGTAAAAATGTTTCCTACTTTCAAAGATTTCTCTGTTATATACAGATGATGTAGGAGTTACACAAAAAAGTCAATGATTTCTCTTTATTTTAGGAATCCAAATGCTGCACATGACTTTTCAGAAATTCTGTTAATGAGATTGCCTTACATGAAATTATTAGTTGTCTGTCAAGCATAGCCTTTAGCAATTGTGTTAGACACTGGGATTTTGGGGTTGCTGCTCCTAAAGTACTGATTTATCCAAATCATTTTCATACTAGCCTGAGTTTATTTTAAAGAGTTTGCAGAATACAGTCTGCACAACAGCAATAGAGTGACTCTTCTCCTACCATGTAAAAGAGAAATAAAGTCATTACATATATTCTTTCTGCCATTACACTGAAGTTTCTTTCCACTCAATGTTCTCTTGTTAAGATATCACTTCGCATTTCACTTAGATAAACATCTCAAGTACTTGAAAATAGGTCATACTGACTTCACTCAAAATATCATACTCATTCTAGAGGCTAAAAAATCTGTTTGCTTAGCTAATTTATAAGCAAACTCTAGTTTTTGCATCCTCTCTAGAATGAACTTCCTAGTAAATCTAGATTTTCATTTGTGCTTAAGGGTAAACTATAAAATGAGCTTTGCTCAGCCTCAATTTCAAAAAGTAAGGCTGAGATTTCTAAGGCACATTTAAAAAAAAAAAAAAAAGTTACTATTTCCTTTAGAAAGAAGAGAGTTTTCTCCTTAAGCTTGTACAAAAAATAAGTAATATTAATAAGCAAAGCATGCAATTGTATTGATTAGCAGTGTAAATTTGACTAACTCCATGTAAACACTTAATATATGGGTGTGACTTATCTACCTTTGTTTAAAAATGAGGTACTTTTAAATATGGTCTTCAGTTTTCTCAATATTGTGTGGTATCGATACTACGAAAAATAAGTGTGATAGTGATGGATAGGGTAATCTTTTTATGGTGAAGAAAAGTCCTACAAAAAGAGTAGAATTACTGCTATCGCTGTATTCACAAAGATATTATTATGGATATTAAGTGATGGAATGAAAGATATTTATGAGATCGAACTGTTCATTTCCTTTAGAGCTCATCACAGAATTTAGCACAAATCAGTTAATACAGCAGGAGGGGTTTCACAGTCAGTCAACAAGTGAACTGTAAAAGATGTCATCCCTGGAGGAGCTCAAAGCCAGGTTGAATGGGATAGTCTGGCCCACTGGCAGGGGGTTGGACATAGATGATATTTAATGTCCCTTCTGACCCAAGCCATTCTTTGATTTTATGATTTAGTCAATATTGGAGATAAAGGAACAACCTCTATGATATAGTACTTGTTTTGGAAGAAGAATAACTTTACCATGTTATAAGAGTATTTCAGTCTGCAGTTCACTGCAAGAACAAAATTGACGTACATATAATACTGTCCCAGGTAGTAAAAGGTAACTTGAAAGTAAGTCAGGAAAGTAAGTAAATCTATCTTACCCCAAGATAATTTGTTCCCACTCTCAAATGTACAACAAAAGCTGAAAATGTTATTGACATCCTTGCCTTAATTTCCACCCAAGAATTAGTGTGATTTCTTTTGGCCTGAGATCGCCCTTAATCAGTCAGAAACAGAAATATTAAACATATTTTCAGTTAGACAGTGTACTATGTTTTAAATTAATTTGAAGAGACCATTCATTCACAAAAATGTGTCCTTATCTGTAATGGTTCTATGTCCTCCACAAGTTATAATTCTGAAAATCTTATAATTTGAGAATTTAAGAGAAAAGGATGCCTCATTCTTTTCCTTCCTGTAATCAAAAGCAAGCACATATTTAGCTTGGCATTTTGGATGAATTCACACTTAGCACATGGTCATAACTTCATTAATATTGTTACACTGTGTCCTCTTTCAGAGCAAGAATGCTACGGAGGGATAGGAATTACAGAAAAGATGCAAGCACAGGAATATTTAGAGATGTTAAACAGGAAGCCAGTTTTTCTGTAAACTCTATCAGTTTTGGTGGATTATTGTGTCAATTATCCAGTAAAAGGAAGTCCTTGCATAGTGATGAATGATGTTTTGCTTTTCCCTCTCTTTATATTTCAAATTATCAGTTTTTTTCCTTTGGTCAATTGACACATCTGCTTATTTTTGTGAGCTTTCTTCTCTCCTGCTGTATCTGTGGTTTGTCAAACATCTACCACAACCCATCTTAGATTTCTCTCCAAAAAAAAAAAAAAGTTTGTTTGTTAGCATAATAGGTTAAATACAATTAATATAATTGAGGAAGATATGGCTTTATGGCTTCACTTCTCAGCTGACCCACAAAATGCCCAATAAATATATATGCAAGATTTTTTTCATCACTGATGTTTCAGTTTGTTTCATACCTAGATGAGTGATTAGATGCTTCAGAAGGCAAAAGAGGCCATTTCAGAGTCATTGTAAGAACACTCTATGCAGAGATGCCTCTGACACTCCTCTTTCAGCAAGGGCTGTGCCAAAATTTCATCGTGAGCATGAGGTTTCAATTTTTCTTTTACTGAATTGCCCTATAAAACATCAAATAACAGTAAATGCCTCGGTATCATGGGAATATCACTTTTGGTTTTTACCAATACTACATTTCATTCAGTTTTCATTAAAGCAGAAAAGTTCTAATATACTGTTGCAAAGCAACCTTAGTAGTCACTTCTCCACTACAGGGGTCTCTGCTTTATGGCTATATGGGAGGTTTATTGTGGCAAATTAGCCTACGTCTGGGTTACATTTATGTTTAGTTTCAGAGAGTCTTCACCTGGTCTTATAACTTTGATGTCTTAGAAGCATGTTTTTAATGTGTGTGTTTTCATTACAACCATTATAATCATATGATCAGTTGTCACCTCTTTAACATACTTTTTTTACTATAGGAAGACCTGCTACTTTATTCATAAGCATGACTCTATACTCGTACTTCATAAGTATGACTTTATACCATTAGCACAGTTGTCTTGATGCTATCATACAAGCCTGTATTGTGCCAGGTTTGTTTCAGGGAAACAAGGAAATGTTGATCATCTAAGAATACAAGATTCCCTTTTGTGATGATTCTCATGGGCAAGAAATGTCAGAGTGACATCTCTCCGTATCATTGCACAGGAAAACCTTTCAACAAGAGTGAATGAAATATGTCTCTAGTGTCCCAGTGTTCCCCAGCTCCACAGAGCTGAACCATATGAACCAAAGAGAAAACACTGACTTACAGTGTTGCTTTACAAAAACCATCAGAGGAAATTCTCATTCTCAGTCAGACATTAATATTGCCTCCCAGAAGTGAGCCAAAGGACTTTCAAACACAAAACTTACTTCATCATTTTTGATTATTTTCATTATTGGGGCAATGCTAGTGTTTGTTATCTGCTTGTCCATCTGTGCTCTTCCTTTATCCACGCTCTTCCCCGATGTTTTTAATGTCAAACAGTAGTAAATAAGTAAAATAAATATTTTTAAAGTTATTTTTTAATTTTTATTTTCCCCTTTCTGTGATTATTTTGAAAGACATTGAGATTTTGGAAAGGGTCCAGAGGAGGGCGACTAAGATGATCAGGGGGCTGGAGCACCTCCCCTATGAGGACAGGCTGAGGGAGTTGGGCTTGTTCAGCCTGGAGAAGAGAAGGCTGTGGGGTGACCTCATTGCAGCCTATCAATACCTGAAGGGAACCTACACCCAGGAGGGGAGTAAACTCTTCAAAAGGGCTGACAACAGCAGGACTAGGGGAAATGGATCGAAGTTGAAGGAGGGAAGATTTAGGTTGGATGTTAGGGGGAAGTTCTTTACAAGGAGAGTGGTTAGGCCCTGGAACGGGCTGCCCAGGGAGGTTGTGGATGCCCCGTCCTTGGATGTGTTCAAGGCCAGGTTGGACGGGGTCCTGGGCAACCTGATCTGAATGTGTGTGTTTGGTGGCCCTGTTAGGCAGGGGGGTTGGAACTACATGATCCTTCAGGTCCCTTCCAACCCGGGTGATTCTATGTAATTCTGTGATATTTTCCCCTTTCCATGAGCTTTCAAAAACATCAATGAAATGAGAGCAGTTGACCTTACTTTTGTGCTTAGGTGCCTGCCATCAGCACTGCTCAAAAAAATTTCTGCAGACCAACAGAAATTAGTTCTTATTTCAGGGCTGCAGTGTTCAATGTGACATAGCCATGTTTTATTGTTCAAATTTGCTGCACTCTGGTGTCAGCACTTACAGAAACAGTTAACCCTGACACCAATACTCATAAACGTAGAAGGCAAAGGGAAAAGTGTGCCACAGCAGACTGATAAGTGGTAGGAATAGTTAATGGAGCTTTCCTCACAGTAATTCTGTGGACTGTAAAATATATCACTGCATGGAGCATTTACTGAAGGTACTTCTGTTTATTAAAATATTTGTATAGAATCAGAAGTTTTCATTACCATGCTACCAAAAGGATTCTGTCAAGAGATCTTAAAAGGAACTGAATTGTTTGAGCTCTTCTGTCACTTCAAATAGTACTGTAATCAAGTCAATTGAATTGCTCTTAGACTACTTCATATGCTTTTGCTTGATTGCTCTCACATTCATTGGGTATTAAAGCATCATTTTCTGAAGAACAGAACTCTAGTTATGTGTTAGTTGCATACTTAGTTTGCATGCCAGTCTAAGAAGGATTGTTAAAAGATAACAGGATTAATTTTTTAATTTAAATTTGTGATATTTGTTTTTACTTGTTACAGATTAATATCAGGGATCTTGGGCAGCTATATAAAATCCGCATTGGCCATGACAACACTGGTAATGATCCCAGCTGGTACCTGGAGGAAATCAGACTTGAAAGAATGTCTCCTTTTTCTCAAGAAGAAATTTGTCTGCCCATAGAGTGCTGGCTTGCAGAAGACAAGGGTGAAGGTGATACATGGAGAGAAGTGGCAATAAGAAACTCTACAAAGGAAATTTTGCCATGTACGTGCTCAGTATGTTAGATTATGTGTTCACTAGCCTCATTCTGTGAGTACATGACAGCTTTTCATATTTCTTCCAGGAAACATTGTTGAAAAGTTAACATAATCACGAAACAAACCTTTCCATTACAAGATGCTTTCTAGTTTGAAAGAAGTGGAAAGCGATCACCCTGCCCCACTCCTTCCCTCTCACCATCAGAATATAGCTATGGCCTATGACTCCTCTTAGCATTCTTGGTGTGTTAAAGTGCTCCTAAATCACTGACAAATGCTTCTCTTTAGAGTAACTAGCCTATTTACATCTGGCAGGAAATTAAGTTGTACCAAGGTTTATAATATCATCTAGTATCACAGTCTTTTTAGTAAGCTCAATATCATCTTTTCTTGTATTGCAAAATATATTCTTTACCAGGAATCAGTGATCTGAATCACCATATGCACATTTTCAAATCAAACTCAAGTCTCAGCCACTAACATAGAAATGATTGACTACAGAGTGGCACTTCTGTGACCTGAAAGTTTATCCACAACTTCATTGCACTCCGCTCTCTTCAAGCGAAGCAGTAAATAGCCCATCATATAGTTATTATTCAAATAGTCCTAGGATTCTATAGAGAAATAAGGAGCTAGTGTAATCATGCAGCATAATGTTTTGTTTTGTTTTTATGGAATGCTTTTGAAAATAACAGAATGACAATGATACAGCTGGTAGAAAATACTGTCCAACAGTGGTAAGCCTTGCAGAGATAGGTGATATCATTTAGGCAAACTGTTTTTGAAATTAAATAGTGACCATTGCAAGGATTCAGTGGCTCAGCATAAAAATGGATCATCATGTAATTCATGAGGTAAAATCATTTCAGATGAAAATATCTAAGAAGCGAAAAGTCTTTAGAGAATATAATTCTCTGATTAAGCGATAAGGCTGGTGATGTTTGAATGTTTTCATGGGTTTTGAGGTCAAAGAAGGCTACTGATCTTTGTTAAAGATGCCAGAAGATACTGAGATACACATTACCAGCTCACCTTTCCCTTCTGCTCTTCTTTTTTCTATTCTACAGAATATTTATTGACTTTAATAGGAAATTTCTGGAACCAAGAGTGACAGGATGAGCAGGGCCCTATGGTGTGTATACCACAATATATGCAGTTAATTACAGCAACATAAAAGCCTATGAAGCTCCAGCAGAAAAATAATGGAAAAGTCATGTTATATAAACCATTAGTTCAACATGAAAGGTGAAAAGTCAGGTCACTGCTGTTAAAGCCTAGGAATATTTTTAAAACAGCAAATTTATTTAGTCTTTCTAAACATTCACTTACTGCTTCTTTCATTGCTTTAGCAAAAATGTTAACTTCATTAAAATATTTGTCTCAAGATTGTATGCAAAGATGTATTAGAAAGGATTTAGAAATTTCCTGAAATTGTAAGGTTTACAAACTACTTATTGATTTCAGGCACATTTAAATTGAGTATCAATGTAAACTGAGCATGGCCTCCTAAGGATTTCCTATTTAGCTTCTAGAGAACAAGCAAATGAAATGCTATCCATCTGCATTTCCTATTTGAAAGCTAATTGCCTACAAGTACTGAGCAAAACACATCAAGTGTATGGGAACTACTGAGTCACTGCCTGAACCTCTGATTGATCACCTGAGGCGAGCCATGAGTGAGCCCTGGGAGCACAGGTGAAGGCAATTCAGCTGTGCTGCTGGAAGGGGTGGAGCCAGGCTGCACCCCTCCTAGACCTATTTAAGAGCTGGCTACCAGTGAGGAAGGATCTCGTCTGGAGCTCCCTCCTTCTGGTGTTTTGTGGTGAGCCCAGCATAAGTGTAAGCCTTCCATTTATTCTCTCTTGTTATCATAGTCCACTTCACCTAACTCTCTTGTTTATTTGTGATTGTAACATCTTGATATCCATTGATTATACATCAAGTCATTTTCTCCAGCAGAACAAATGATGTACTACTTATTGTTTAATAATAATCTGATATGATTTAGTAATTTATGTCCCATATTTTCAAATCAATTTAGTATCTTCTAGTAGTAATACATTTACTTAACTATGAAAATCTTGTGCTAAAAATGTTAAATAAAGTTATAAATATAAGATAAATTAATATAAATTTAGCTCAGCTTTTTTTTTCTTCTAATTTTACTGTTTAACTTGTTATTACTCAACTTATTCCTTAGAAGAAAGTGTAATTTTTCCCTTATCCATCTTTTTTGTCCACTTCAACCAACCAAACTCTACTACCTACCTTACAAAGTCCTAAAACTATGGAGCTGATTTTTGATTTATTGTTTTTGTGCTTTTTGTTTGTTTGTTTGTTTGTTTTTTCCCTAGCTTTTTTTCTTCAACTGATTTACTTCCAGATTCTGAGACCTTTTATTTAACTGACTGGAGCATGTTGTTGAACTAGGTGATCCTTGGAAGTCTACTCCATCATAATTCTTTTGATTATTTCTCCACCTAATCTCACTTTTTCTAGCAGTTCCAGACATTGGTTTTTGGTTTACCAAACTAAGCAAAAATTGCTCAACAGTTTTCCAAGTTATGGGCATTGGAATTTGGTCATTATGTTCAGAACTTGGTAAACACTTAAATTTCACTCTATGAAAATAAGTTGAAAGGTTTATATTGGATACTTTTGGCTTAGCTTTATAGCATCATGGCAACATAGCAGTGTTAGGGGAATCCCGTATTTTGCTCCACACCCAGCAGTCTCATCTTTTTCTCCCGGAAAGATGCTCTGACTCATGGTCATGGGTTTCACACCTGGACACTGGGGCTGAGGCTGTCCTGGGACAGCCCTGAGAGGGGATCAGGCAAGGTGTCAATACGTCTGAGTCCTTAATATGAGTTCCTATCTGCACTTGCGCCCCCATGCTTGTGCAGATGGGCTGATGGCTTTTGTGATAGGCCTGGGAGAAGACAGAGTAGGGTGCTATTTGGGATCCAACTGCCTGCACTCCTGTGTGTGTGCAGATGGCCCTTACATACAACTTAACATGGAGAATTGATTGTCTCCAGATAGGGCTGAACTTTTGATGTTAGGGGATGCATGATACAAGACATTTTGACTTTTCTTACTGTTTATGTGGCTATAAACTTCAAATGGGAATCTGTGTAACTGATGGAATACTGTACTGATTTGAAAGAGAAAACAAGTATTGAGGCTTAGGCAGGAAAAATTCCAGCTTAGAAGATTTAGACTTATTTTCCACTAAGGAAAATATGCACGCAAATGCAGAAAGAGGTCAGGATGTGCTGACTGCCTGAAATGGCGCAAAAGATGACCGAAGCAAATAGTAATGACTTGAGCGTTATCTCTACTAAATTTGTATCCATGTTTGATGATTCAGGAGGCACTGACTACTTATGTAAATAGCTAGGGTTCTCTTTCCTATTGTAAAACTGATTAGCAAATGTGCTTTTTTTGAAGTTGAAATGCTCTGAAGAATATTATCTTCTCTGTGCTCCTCAAGATGAAGATTGCTGAGGCTGTGAAATCCTGACAATAGTTCAGAAATTTTTTTCTGTTAGGTTCTTTTATCTGCATCACACAGCTTGCTAGCTTTCTTTTTCTTCTTTCTTTTTCTTCTTTCTTCTGAGTCAGCTGGTCTTCTAGTGGTGGAAGCAAAATCTGGTGGTGGAAGAAAGATCTGATCATTGGTCTACTTGGGTAGTTTGAGAATCTATGTCTGAAATATGGCTGTATATCTGTGGCTATTATTTGAGGCTGTGGCACTTCAGTATCGCAGCTGACAGCTCACTGCAGACATTATCCCACGTGTGTCAACCCACTCTAGGGATGTGCTGTAAATGTTGTGCAAAAGCCTAGGACTGTGGCTGGGAGTGAGGCCAGAGGTTCCAAACACCTTTTCCCCTTCTTCCTCCTGCTCAAAAGCAAGCAAAAGAAAAACACCACTGGCATATTTTCTTATCCCCAAAACTTGAGAATAGCTTATGTTCAAACAAAAAATTTCAATCTGCATTTCTCCTCCATTGGCATGAGGCAGCTTCTGAAAAGCCCCCTCATGGTTCTTACCGCTACAATGAATAGACAACAGCAGAACCTTTCCCTACATATATCTTATGTTTATATACCTAAGTACTGAGGCTGAACATGGAAAGACCTTATTCACATGCAAGAATCTAGCTTGAATTTCCAGTGCTAGATCCTTAGAATAATAACATCTATTAAATTACTCAAAATTTTCCATATGTGGTTTTTACAGTATTGCTCTAAATACCAGGAGTAAATGAAAGCAGATATTAGAAACTCAGATTCTGTAATTGTAATTGAAATGTCTTCAGTTGATAGGGTTTATGTATTTATAACTCCTCAAAAAGTCTATGCTTCACTTCTGGGGAAGACAGTACCTCTCAAACACTATCAGCCATTAAGAATTTGTACTGTTTTAAACTTAATGCTGCGCCAATCCACGTTTTACCCTCCTGCCTGCAGATCAGGTGGCAAGTACTAAATGATAAAATTCTATGACAGAGCTTCAGTCTTTCTGTTTAATGAATCAAAGTAAAATGATAATTTAATTAAAGCAGGAATATCATAGGGAAGCAAAGAGTCCAGGCCGTTACCCTGTTGCATTGTCCTGACATATTGGATCACCATTCTTAGATAAGGACTGGATAGCAACAGTCCAACAATTTTAACGTTGTACAGCAATTACTGTCTCTCTGTGTTTTGTGCTCTTTGGCCAGTTTGTCTGTTTGTACTGGCAGACTGACAGTAGTGGATTCGTGCAGTGAAGCAGTACGTGTTAAAAACTCAGTGAGCTAAGAAACCAGAGGCCTCATCATGTGCTCTAAATGGGAAGCAAGTCTGGGCTCGTTCTGATTGCCAATTGGACATATTGCCAATTTCTGGCAAGATCATCTTCATTGTTTTCCTGGAATGTATCCTCTGGTTTAGTTTCATCCAAAAAGAATCTATTATTTTGCTCTAAAATCAGCAAGCAAGAAAGCAAGAATTCCC